CTCTCTCTGTCAAGTGCATATGCCCTATGGTAAAAGAACTTAAAAAAACAATAATAAACAAACAAAATCGGAGATCTAAATCCCAGCACTCTCAGTTGTTATTTATATGATGTTCAACAAGTGTTACAAATTAACATTATTATCTTAGTTTATTATTGTGTAACTAAACAGAATATCTGATACTAAGTGATTTATAAAGAATAGAGGTTTATGTGCCTTACAGTTCTAGTGGCTGGAAAGTCCAAAGGCATGAGGCTGGAGTCAAGCTGGCCTCCTGTGCCATATTGTAACATGACTAACAGAAGCAAAGAGGAAGGCAGGCATGTGCAAGATGAGTTTGTCTTTTTTATCTCCTCACTCACTAGAGGTGTCCTCTAATTAGGTCCCACTTTTAAAGATCTCACCAGCTCCCAAAGCCATGACACTGGAGATCAAGTTTTCATATCATGAACATTTGGTGATCAAATCTTTATCTGAAATATAACATTTCTCTCTTACCAATATTTGTTCTAAGTCATATGTATTGAGTAATAATTTACATATGGTAAAATTAACCTTTTTACTGTACAATTCTATGAATTTTGATTAATGCATATAGTTGTGCAGTTACCGCCATAATCAAAATATAGAACATTTCTATCATTCTGCAGAAATTCCCCATTTCCAGTTCCCGGTAACTATTGATTTGTTTTCTGCACCTATAGTTTTTCCTTTTCCAGAATGTTAAGTTAATGGAATCATACATTATGTACCCTCTTGAATCTGAATTATTTTTCTTAGTATTATGCTTTTCAAATTCATCCATGTTGGTGTGTATGTTAGTCGTGTGTTTTGTTCTAGTCTCAATTATGAGAACTAATATGGTACTTCAGCAAGGGAGCTAGTCATGGCAGATCTAGGTTTTAGTGAAGTTTATATAGTTTGGGGGGCTCTCTCTTAGAAAAGAATGTTGGGCCAGCAGTTAGCATAGTGGTTATGTCACTGCACTCCCACATAGTCTACCACAGTTCAAGTGCTAGACCCAGTGGCTTAAAACTCATGCTGGCATGCGTGCTTGCATGCTCAAAATCCCAAGAGGAGAATGGAGGAGAAGGGATAGTGGTGTGGCCATCTCCCCCAGGGGGTGATTTCTTGCTTTCTGTCTCTTTGGTGAGTGCACACGCCCTATAGCAAAAAGTTCTCTTAAAAAAATTAAAAAGAAAAGAGAAAGGATGCAAAATTACTAATACAAAATTAGGTATGGTGCTGTGTGATGATCTGGTGGTAAAACATGGCACTCTATGAGTCTGAATTTAATGGAAAGGTTCCTCATTCATGTCCAGAGACCTCCCTGAGTACTCTGGGCATGTGTGTGCCTGTGATTAAGGGTCCGATGAAGCTGAGTATAAATCACAAGGTCAAGACTCTGTTGAGGGTTCTCTCTCTCTGCAGAAATAAACTTTTTAAAAAATTAGGGGGACAACCAGTATGTGGCAACTGGATCCCACAGGGCCAACTGCATGGTTTGAATCCTGGACTTAGTGACTCAAAAACATGGTGAGCCTGTGTGTGTGCATGCCCAAAATTCTGAAAGGAGAAGTGGAAGAGAAAAGATCAAGGCATGACCATCCATCATGTGGGGGTGCTTTCTCACTTTCTCCATCCCCATCACTCTCTGAAAGTGCATGCACCTTATAGCAAAATTAAAATAATAATAAGTATAAAATAAGTTCTTGTAAATAAGAACAGAAATAATAGTACTACTACAAACACAGGAGTTTTGATATTATTTTCCTCATCCTAATGAAATTAAAAAATCACATGGTTTCTTTATAGTTCTATACAATGCACCATCTACTATATTTCTACAGGAAATACCCCCTATTTTGGAAAAATGGAAGTGAGAACCTAATTCGCTGCTCATAGTTTTATGGTTTTGATGGTTGGATAAATTTTCCACCGACTAGTTTTAGGTTTCATACATTCTACACTTGGTTTCTCTTTCACTTCACACATAATTTTGGGAGATGTTATAGGCACATTCAGGTCATGATCTACAATCTTTAGCCCTGCCCTTTTTGTGTCCGACTGTCTGGTGAGTTAGCATAGAGTGGTGGAAGTATGCCTAGCAGCATTCCTGGACTCAAACAATAATCTAGCTGTAGACAAAAGTGATTGCAAATCACATAAATAAACCATTACACTCAAACTAACTATATGTCCAATCAGTTTCCTCTAACTGGATCCTCAAAATATTCCCAATCACTCCAACAGCACTGACTAGGGGTGTATGACAGAGGAGAAAGTATTCTAAGTGGAAACAGATGGTAGTCTTAATATTGTAGCTACAATACTTTTCTTCTGCAAATCTTTAAAGAACAGTTAAAATCTCTCAAAAAAAACAAAAAAAAACAAAAAAAAACAAAAAAAAACAAAAAAAAACAAAAAAAAACAAAAAAAAACAAAAAAAAACAAAAAAAAACAAAAAAAAACAAAAAAAAACAAAAAAAAACAAAAAAAAACAAAAAAAACGAACAGTTGACTGTGATTCCATTGCCAGGTTCCCTCTCAGGGCCTGGAAGGTGTTTATGCAAGTGAGCATAAGGTTAAGGAAAATGCTAAGAAACTAGACTCTGGATACTCCTCATAAAGATGACAGGAGAGACTGAGAGAAAGAGACATGCAGCCTTCTGTACTTGACTCCTCTTTTGGAAGAATGTAACCAATCCCATCTGGTGGTGTCTTTTTTCATGTATACTCTTCAGGGTGTTGGCAGAGTCATTGTCTTGGTGACTCCACGTCGCTGGCTGGGTTACTGGAAGTGAGAGGCACAGGCCTCCTCAACTCCCAGCAGTCCTAGAGGAACCCAGGGACTGGAGCCAGGCTGGCTAGATCGGGTCCCCACGCCTTTCTTTCAGTATTTCATAATGGAAATCACAGAACTAACCTTTCCACTTCAGAAGAGCAGTTCTCTCTTTTGGAACCAAAAACACACCGACTAAGAAAACTGCTAATTTATTCAATCTACGGTGATATGAGATGATTTCATTTTATATGTTAAAAAGTTTCAGATGAAACTTTTTTTGGATAAAGTAACTCCAACTAAGAGCATTTTGATTACCAAGTATTTTAACTATTTCTCCTGGGTTTTTGTTGCATCAGAGTCACATACCTTAAAAAATGTGTTACTTATTTTCAACTAGATTGCTTAAATATCGATTATACTTTTAGTTAACTCTAGAGAATGCGGGAATATAGAGTTTAGAATTTTTTTTTTAATTTATGAGGTTGATCCTGGTTATTAATCTGTAGGCCTTTTTTTTTTTTTTATCTTAAAGTGATTTCTTTTAAGCTAATAAAAAGATAGGAAATTTGTATAAAGGATTTAAGGTTTTCAATAGAGAACATTGATTACTTTTATAATAGAAGTGTAAGTAAAGGGCCAACAGGTGGCATGCTGGTTAAGGCACTGGCCTCCCACATGGCTGAAGACAGTTTGAATCCCAGACCTGGTGGCTTGTTTTCTTGCCTTCGCTCTCTCTTTCTCTCTCTGTCTCTCTCTGGTGAGCACCTGGGCCATGTGGCAAACTTTAAAATAATAATAATAATAATAAATAAAAGTAAATAATAAGTATTTTTAAGGTAAATCAAGCTGTAGATATAGGGGTTGCTCTTTACTTTCTATCAATACTAAGCAGAGTACTCTGGGCACCCATAGGTACCGTCAGAAAGCTTATGGTTCAGAAGGAGAAAAGCTAACCCTTAAGCAGTGCTACCACACACTATGAGGTGCTAGAGTGCACACTGGGTACTAGTTTACAAGGTACTGGTGACATCTGATGCAGAGAGAAGCACAGGGCAAAAGGAAGGAGAGCGGTGTAGTCAGCCAGGGCTTCCTTAAGGGACACCAAATGAAGATGGATTGAAAGGTGTTTTGTTTTTTGAGAGATTTTTGCTCTAGGGCATGTGCGCTCACCAGAGAGACATAGACAGAAAGCGAGAAATTACTCCCTAGGGGGATGGCCACACTGCCATCCCTTTTTTTCCAGTCACTTCTCAGAATTTGGGGCACGCACACACATGCACCCAGTGTGAGTTTTAAGCCACTAGGTCCAGGATTGAGCCACAGTTGACTATGTGGGAGTCGAGCCACGTAACTGTTACACCATCTGCTGGTCCCCGATTGAAAAATATTCAAAGAAATGAGGCCCCATTGATACAAGCCAATGTCAGAGTTTTTATAATGACTAAAGGTGGCCTTTAAATTCATTTCTATTTTTTTTATAAATAATCATGTGATATGCAGATAAGGGTAAGTAGATTTCTTTCTTCCTAATGTATATATCTTTTATTTCCTGCAATATTGCACAAGTTAAAAGGTCTAGCACTGCATCAGTTGGTGGTGTGGAGGTTAAGATGGCTGGGTCCCACATGGCCAACTGTGCAGTTCAAGTACTGGACCTGGCAACTCGAAAAACATGCTAATCACATGTGCATATGTGCCAAAATCCTGAAAAGAAAATGGAGAAAAAGGGATTGTGGCATGACCGTTCCACTGGGGGATGATTTCTCACTCCCCCGCCCCCTGCCAACACACATACCCTATAGCAAATTGGAAAATAAATTAAATGATTACATTTGAAATAAATAAATAAAATATTGAAAAAAGACTGCTAGGCCAGCAAGTGGTATGGTAATTAAGGCACTGGACTCCCACACAGCTGACTATCGTTCAAGTCCTGGACCTGGTGGCTTGCTTTCTCACTTTCTCTCTCTCTCCCTCTCCGTTTCTCTTTGGTGAACACACATACCCTATAGCAAATTTTAAAAATAATAATAAAAAGATTGAATAATTCTTTAAATTAAAAAAAGAAGGACTGCACCTTTGTGCTCAAATCTATATTCATTCTGAAACATTCTTAGAGGCAGAATTACAAAGTCAGGAGATAGAACCTTCTAGAAAGGTCTGTACTGAAAGTGGACAAAAATCTCTTTTCTCAATCTCAAACTTTGTTTCCTAGAAGCATCTGATGGTGAAGGAGGAGGAGACACAGAAATGATGCAGACAGAGACAGCTCCAATTCCTGCTCTGCCAAAGAAAACCAAACAGGTGATCGTCACTGAGGGGGAGTCATAGCTGTGGGGTTCTGAAACCAGCCTCTCCACCCTCTGCAGCATTTCCTGTGCCCTAATGTTAGTTGGTGGTGGGGCGTGAGGGAAGCATTTACCTGCACACCCTTTAGAAAATCTGTGCTTCCTTATAAACCAACAAGGTCTGCTTTTCTCCCTAATTTTCTTTTCTTTATGCTGTATAAATGCATTTCACAATCATGCTATTGTAGATTCCTGTATGACATGTTTACCAATGATCCAGCCTAGTCTTTTGAGCACAGTTCTTAAGACAAGACAAATAGCATAAAGATGTAGCCGATTACTTCACACGTGAATGTGTGAGCCCAGTCCCATACCATGCTGCCCGCAGGCATCTGGAGCCTTCTGCTCAGCACTATTGTCTGTCACAGGCATTTGTATCAGGGAATTTGCTGCCTTTTAGTTACAAGTGACCATTTGGATCGATTGTGCTTCCTAGACCCCTGACCTTTTATTACCTTTTTAACCTTCCTACTGACTTTTTTTTTTTTTTGAGAGGTTTTCGCTATAGGGCGCGTGAGCTCACCAGACAGACAGAGAGAGACAGAGAGACAGAAAGCGAGAAATCACACCCCAGGGGGGATGGTCACGCCACAATCCCTTCTCCTCCATTTTCGTCTCAGGATCTTGGGCACGCACGCACATGCACCCAGTGTGAGTTTTAAGCCACCGGGCCGGGACGTGAACCGCAGTTGACTACGTGGGAGGCCAGCGACATAGCCATTACGCTAACTGCTGGTTCCCCTTCCCACTGACTTTTGAAGTGCCAGTCATATCCATTTTTTTCCCTATTATGTGTCTGTCAAACCTATTTGGAAGTCTATGTGTGATTTTTAAAGAACTGTCCACTATCAGTCCAACATTATCATCTTCTTTGTACTAACAATTTGTGGTCTTATTATATTATAGGTGCCCTAAACTCATCCCATTAGAGGGTGACTCTGCCTAAACTTTGTGACCAGGCTCAGGAAAACTGTAAGAAGCAGTTTAACACAGGGGTTACTTAAAAGTTGCATGATCCTGGGCCAATTAAATTTACCTGTGCTTCAGTCTCTTTTTGGTTAAATGGTCACAATAATTATATCTTCCCTGCAGACTTGGAGTGGGGATTAAATTATTAAGCACTTTGAATAGTGGTTGCCAAAGAGTAATCACTGAAGTGTTAATAATTATAGTGAAGGGGCCAGCAGGTGGCAGAGTGATTAAGGCACTAGACTCCCACATGGCTGACTATGGTTCAAGTCCCTGACACGGAAGCTTGAAACTGACACCAGGCACATGTGCATGTGTGCCCAAAATCTTGAGAGGAGAATGCAGGAGAAGGGATTGCCACGTGGCCATCCCCCCGGGGGGTGATTTCTAGCTTTCTATCTCCCTGTCTGTCTGTCTGTCTGTCCAGCGAGTGCACACGCCCTATAGCAAAAATCTCACAAAAAAAAGAAAAAACAATAAGAATATACTTCATCTTTTTATTTTGTTCATTATTTTCTCTTTATAAGAAGTGTAATGCAGAAAGATGTACATATTTAATATGTAATCATCTTGTTTTTCTTTCCAACCTATAAATATTTTGCTCCAAGGTCCTATGCCAGTTTTAATTTGAATCATTCTTTTTAAAACCTATGGGTCAACATCCTTAGCTTTTCGATTTATTTCTGTAAGCAATTGAATTTTACTTATCTCACTGACTACACCACAGTCATACTTTCTTTGACCTTTGAGTCTAATCAGTACCAACCTGCAGAACTTATTTCCAAATATCCTTTTTTGTATCCCACTGACTTTCTTTTTCTGTATTTTCTCCTTTGATTTTTTTCTTCCTGTTTGCTCCTTGCCTTTTCTGGACACAATGGGAATAGAGTAAATCTTAATTAAGAAGCTCACCTTAGCCTGCATCCTTGCAATTTTTTTCTCAGTGAAACCATCAGCAATACCTCCTTCTTCTTGGCTTTCCTTTCCCCATAACCATCAAGGTAAATAAGTGGAAAATAACTATAAGTAAAATGGGAGAAGAGGAAGTGAAATACATTCCTCAACTCTGAGCATTCACCTTGCAGCTGCCCAGCTTTCCACAGTAATAAAGCCCTTTTACTCAGCAGTTACTGTACCCACTGTGCAAGGCACACCTACACACATACTCTCACAGCAGCCCCAAGAGGAATGTTGTACCCCATGGTGCAAAGAACCTGAGGCTCAGAGAGAAGGGTTCCAGAGTCTGCCCCACTTGGCCTCCTGTGAGCCAGGCTCTGAGGGCACTGTCATTTCCACTTCCCGTTTCACCTACTCTTTTTCCACTTGGGAAAATTGGATTAATCATGTCCCTATGTACTTTGTTCATCATGTGTCATTGCTATTTTCTACTGAGAAAAAAAAATTACAAAAGCTTAAGATTGCATTACCCATTTTTATCACCTCCTGCTGGCTCTAATTTCTTTCACCACGAAACTGCTTCAAAGAGCCCAAGCCTGAGGGATACAAAATGCCCTGGCTGCTTTTTCCAACCCTATCCTCATTTTCCTGACCAGAGAATTCTCCTTCTCTGAATTCACACATGTGCCTCTCTGCCTCAGGGAGAGTTGTCCATCCAGGTATCGGATCTTCTCCTCCATGCCGTCCACCTCAAGAGCAGAGTTTATCTGTGCATCTCCACAGCACCTTCCCCCAAGCCGGCATCTGTCATAACCAAACAAAGGAGTGACTGATGGTGCCAGTATTCCAGCTCGCTCACCCCATTTCTTGTCTCAGCCCTTTGTGTTCCAGCTTGTCAGCCATCAGCTCTCTGGCACTGCTGTCTGCAGAGGCCTTTTGGAGCCTCATGACCCAGATCCCCTCCTCTAGTACCATCCTGGATCCTCCTGCCACCATTTCCTCCTTGAAAAGCTCCCCAATCTTATCTTTCAGGGTTAGGGTCAGTCCTTCCCTACCGATGAATGCCTACACAGTCAATCAGGCTTCTCCGTGGGCTCCCCTATCTATTCTCCCACTGCTCTTCTCCCTCTGAAACTTGTCCCACCACCGCAAGGATGACTTTCTTGTCAGACTGTGCTTCCTGGAGTCCTTCTCTAGTTGTTTATGCTTGCAGACCTTCCGTCTCCATCTGGTTCCTAAATGTCCTTTATGTCGACTACAGTATCTAGCACAGTATTGGCACTTATTTGTTAGATGAGACCGGATGTATGTTTTCTAAAGGTATTTTTTTTTTCCTGGAAGAGAAAAAAGAAAGAAAAATTATTTTACACTATTTAAATTCTGAAATTTTTTTCAGATTTAGTTACTTTGCTGTTAAGTTTTTCTTTAGTTTGTACAGGAACTACCTGGCATTATACCGTAAGCTGTAGTACATAATTTTGGCTCTAATATCAGCAGGTAAGAGCATCTGTTAAGGGGCCAGCAGGTGGCGTGGTGGTTAAGGCACTGGACTCCCACATGGCTAGCTGCTGTTTGAGTCCCAGACCTGACAGCTTGCTTTCTCACTCCTCCCTCCCCCCACCTCTACCCTCCCCAGTATCTCTGGTGAGTGCATATGCCCTATAGCAAAATTTAGAAAATTATAATAAAAATAGGGACCAGCAGTTGGCGCAATGACTGTGTTGCTGGGCTCCCATGTGGTCGACCGTGGTTCAAGTCCCAGACCTGATGGCTTGAACTCACACGGGGTGCATGTGCATACGTGCCCAAGATCCCGAGAGGAGAATGGAGGAAAAGGGATGGCAGTGTGGCCATCCCCCCAGGGGGTGATTTCTCTCTTTCTGTCTCTCTATCTTTCTGGCAAGCGCATGCTCCCTATAACAAAAACCTCTCCCCCCCTAAAAGAAGAAGAAGAAGAAGAAGAAGAAAGAAAATAAAAATAAGCAAAATTAAATAAATAATTCTTTTAAAAAAATAGAGCATCTATCAGGATAGATTCTGTTCCCTCCTTTGCCATAGCTGGGCCTTGCTTGTGTGTTACTGCCTCTAATCTGAGCAGTATTTCAAGCAGCGGATTTATAACTTTATAAAAGTTTTTTGTTTTTTTAAAATCCATACAGTTACATCATCTCTAGCAACCACTTCACATCTAAATAATCATCCTTGGCCTGCTTAATAATGTGAGTGTAAAAATTTGCCAACAGTTCTTCCCCCTGCAACCCGCAGGTATTGCTTCCAAAATAAATGATGAGTTTCCCTACTCCTAGAGATTGCATCACCCTCTTCCCTCCTCAACGTTGGTCATTTCAGAGCCAGCCCTGGTGACTTTTTAATTACGGTTCCCAGAATGTAAGCCCTTACAGAGGATTTTTGTGACTTTTTGTTGATGCTTCCATGATGTCAGTAGCCTTTCAATGGTTCCATGCTCCATCCTCTGGCCCTGAGACCACAGTGGATCTCCTTCGTCTTCAGCTGGGCTTCGGGGCAGCTTCTTGGATCATAAAAGGATGTTCATCAAGAGTGCTTATCTCTTCCCCTTCTTACACACCTTTCTCTATGATTATAGTTTAGTATTATTTCTTTATTTGAGCATTGGTCATTTCATACGTCTTCCACTCTTTATCTCCACGATTATTTTTGATTATTAGGAGAAAATAGGACTGTGTACTCTTTGCTTTCCAATTCAACTTGTTCCTTTCTCTGATGGTTTCTCAATTCTGTTCTTCTTTGTATTAATCTTCTGTTGCATACCAAATAACCCAGAAGTTTAATCAGGAAAATAAAATCATTATCTTTCGGTTTCTGTCATCTCATAAGGATGGCTTAGCTTGGTGCTCATCAGGTGCCAACCACGTTGTAGGCTGGGATTGAGAGGCTCAGCAAGGAGAGTTCATCTTGAAGCTTACTCATGTGATTGCTGACAAGCCTCAGTCCCTCACCCCTCACCATGTGAGCTTCTGAGCCCGGCTGCCTCCCCACTCTTCAGCCGGCTTCCCCAAAGCCAAGTGAACAAGGAGGTAGCCAGTAAAGGTACCCAAGAGAGAAACCACA